TTTAGTTTCTATTATACTTTTGGTTGATTACAATTTGTTTAATATATCTAAAGCATTTCTTTCCTTCTCTTGACTTGACTTACTGCGAAATGATAACGTTCACGCCCAAACAAGGAACAACCAATCAATTAGTGCATGCTGTCATTCAAGATGGACAACTACATTACGACAAACTACCACATCTCGAAAAGAATTGGGATAATTGACGAGCAAAACAAACTCCGACGTTACGAAAACCGGAATCGAGACAAGTTCTATAACAAAAATAATAACTTGATGCACTTGGTCTCACCGAATTAAATGGCGAAGTGAACCAGGTTCCAATAGTTTCGATGCACATTATTGTTCTGATAAATTATCAGAAAAGCATGCGTAGTAGTTTTGACAAAGAAGAAAGCGAAATATAAGACAGGAAGAAAAACGGTGAAAACCGCTAGACGCACTTCACATCCGTATCCATTGTGTACAAATGAGTGAGTCTTTCGAAACTCAGACGAACGGCATGCAAATTGGGCAGATTCATGAAGCAAACTTGAGCTTGATCATAGTAGTCTGGNTTAAGTTGCGCCACGCGATAAGTGCGAGCGTCCACGATTAACAGACGTGTCGGTCCTAGCGGATATCCAAAAGGAACAATTCAATATCATAAGAATGATTATTTTCATTGTTTTTTGCGTAATACGCTATCAATTGTTTTTTCGGAAGGGAAGGGCTACATACTAGCAGAAATGGAGAAGTAAAGAACGGAAAACGTATGCTATATCCTTAAATATAACTAGCTAATGTACCTACTTAATGTAAATCACTTGTACGGAAGATGGTAATAAATAGGATGGTGTAATAGGAAAAATGTTCGGGGACGGGAACATGTACGTTGTTTACTCCAGAGAAAGAAAAATACACGTATAATCACTGCTAAGGTAATCCAGCCACTGTTATTTCGTATATCGAACGGAAACATGAAACTGAATCCAGATCGATCAAAGTCTTGACAATAAGAACCTTATCCTACCGAATGGAAATCGTAGCAAAGAATCGTGGTGTTTTGGCTTACTTCACACAATGGGTTCTCAATTTTTCCAATAAGATCCATTCCTTAGAACGATTCCGTTACCTGTTAAAGGAAGTCTAGCTGCTCTCTAACTAATGGCAATATTGGTCATTTTTCGCATTTTGAAACTACTGTCACGGCTGAGATAAGGACGATGAGATTCGGCGACGCGAAACAAAAATATTTGTGCAGTTCAGGGGCCATACACAGACCTGAAAACAAGAGTGCAGTGGTTGATGCAATTGACTCTGTCCTCTCTCCTCTCGCAGCTAATCGTAAAAGACCTTCATGATTCCCCGCGCCAGCGTATACTTATGTTTTCACACACGTCTGAGTCTAGACTATGTGCAAACAAACCAAGGTACAATAATATTTCTAAAAATAAAAAGCTCATTGATTTGCTCGAGGGTGGGATACTGCTAGATTGCCCAAGCCAAGGTACATTTTCTTGAGGAATTCAAAATAAAGCTTTCAGTTCACCAAAGCCTGGCCCGCAGGGCAGCGACACGGTGTGTGAAAACCACTATCCGGTATCCAGTTCATCGGATCACATGCCACGTGGACAGGGTCAAACATCCGAGGTGCCCAATACACATCGAAACCCAATCGATCCGGTGACCGCTGCCATAACCGAGGTGTGTGTGCGCCTCTTCTTGGTTGGTTTGGAATCAAGGTTTTTACTCAACTTCCTAATATGAATTGCCAGTGGCTCACCGATCAGGCTATAGCCCCGGATGATAAACGGGAACTAATCAATTGGTGACCCTTCGGATCTGTTACTGAGTATAATAACCACCCCACACTGACCTACTGAACGGGCTTCATCGTCACCTGGTGTGCGAAAGACGTATCTCAAGGACAAATCCCGTGCAACCAAGTGGCTTATGGCAGTAGGATCCTAAATTCGTGTCTCCGATTCGCAGCAAGTATCGATCCTCAAGGATGTCACTGTACACGCCAGACAAGCTTGTTGACCCACTAGCATCCGTCCTTACATTGAAGATCCTCAGATTCAGTGTTTGACAAGGTTTCAGAATCGGCGGCCTATTCCGTGGTAAATTTCTCACTGTTATCTGGCAACGACCTCTGTCGAGCGACTATTACAACAAAGGACAAGGGTTGCGTACGGAGGACAAACAATTGAACAAAGGTAGGGATGTCTGACCAGTAGCCCACTCCGCTTAATGCAATGGGCAGCGCGGCCCCGATTATCCTGCGCAACGACCGATGAAGTATAGAATTATTTTGGTTAGTGTATGCACTAGAGTTTGTTGGACGAGCACTGTTAGGATGCTCAGGCATTAAGCAAGAGAACGATTAGAGTTTTCAATCAAAGACCTTTTGTTCTGACAAGGTAGGAAGAGAAGTGAAGCGGAGGCCCATTAACTTGGGTCGACTACTTCCTACCACCGTTTACCGACTGAAACGCCAATTCTAGTCAAACCTCCAACCTGGAGGACCACCAGACCAGACCTCACCCTGGCTTTGCAGGCAGCATTATATCCTCCGCTTGACCAAAGCCATCCTGTGTAGTTCGTTGGGTCATAGAGGTACACCAACCATCATACTACATCAAGATGCAGTCTCTCCATGTTGGCTGTCTGTGAAGGTTTGAGTGTATAGTGCGGTAGTTCATCCAGTGATAGGATAGAGACTTGACCGTTACGCAAACAGGATAAAGATGGACTGTCGGTATTCGAACACTTATGTACGCCGCATTGTGCGAGTCTGATGGGGAACTGGACAAGTAATATTGAGGTTAGGTGCAGAGTTGTAGGTAATTGCGGTCGCCCACTGGAGTAGGTGGTCGATTTCCGTAGACCATTTTGGTTGGGGTGTGCTACGCGTGTCACCAAATAGAATGCCACGGTGCGCAATGTTTGCTGGTGCGGTCAATAGATTGGGAAAACCAACGGGAGTCAAACTAAGACGTCATATGCGGGTGTGAAAACCCTGGTCCGGGGACTCGATTATATGGTTCGCGTTACACTTCCGGCTAGGGACCTCAGGATAAGTGTAACTGATGGTTAGAGACACTATGTGATAATGGATGGGCGTCGTAAAAAGAAGTGCTCGCGTATCTACACAATTTCTCGGTAACTTTGGTTTACCTAAATACACCAAATTTACCCCCAATACTGCTTGTAGTGTTCTTTTCGTCCTTCCATTCTTCCATCCAAATTAACACCCAGAACGCAGCAACAAAGAAGATTGAGTGAGTGTAAGATTAATGACTGCATGAACTAAACTGAACGGAACTCACCAGAAATTTGCTTTAAACCTGGGTTCTCACGGCAGCTCTTTGATACACTGGCCATGAAGCGCTCATCGTATTGGTTTCGATAAAACATCAACCCCACACACGGTTGGGCACATCGCAGCAGAACGGCTCCTGTTGTTTGAGATCTTTAAAAGAGTGAGCAGTTATAACGTGTGTATCACCTCCAAACAACTGAAGGGAAACGCCTATGAGTTCGAAACTCCGCCATATTCACCATGGCCGTATCTTTAATGCCAATGGGAACAATGTGGTACTCCGGATAAGTGGGGCATATTCTAAATAAACGAGTCTATGCTAAATAGAAAAAGAAGTATACTTGAAATCTTTGTTAGCCTCGCTGATTTTCCAAACATTCTGGAAATTCATTCTTCTGAATTCCTGAGAAATAATTTCAGACTCCGGACGTGGACAATCAACTAAAGAAATGAATGCCGGTCTCAAGTAGTAAATGAAACGGTACCATCCCAAAGTAACTTAGCCACGCCATAAAGAAAAGGGTGGTCTGGTATGCTTCGCTTCAGTGCATTACGAAAAGTACAACAAAAAGCATTTTCAATCGAGCCGGAGGAATCGATCAGCGACGATATTCGTTCAACGCACCGTTCACACGTTACCTCAGTATCAAAAGCACACCTGGGTGTTGATTAGAGCTATTGAAAAAAAAACTTACATGACACTGAGTGCCAATTTGGTCGTTAGTTTGAGGTAAAGCTGGTTTACAATCTCCGCTTTCCAAAGCAATGCTATTGGTACACTCCAAACATTACTCGGCTGGATTGTGACAATTATCAAACGGTAATCCGTGAAGAGCAACCTTCCGTCAATGATTGCTTCGTCGTGGTTGACAGTTTCTCCGGGCAAGAGATACACATGAGCTTTAGAAGCCGAATCCATTGAAACCATAACCTGGAAAATACGTAGGATTAATAAGAGAACGAACCAGATTGAACATGTATTCAAAATAACCAAAAAGGATACATCGCGATCTTTTTAAACCACTTTTTATGTTAATTTCACATGATACAGGGAAATGGGTTGATCTGACACAAGAGACTGCAGTATCGAACTTCACTGCGTTTGACTCCTTGAAGAAAATAAGCCGGCCCAATGAATGTCTCTGACCGCAGTTAACCATACCCGATGACTGGGAGCAAGAAGACGGTGTTCATTAAAGCACGATCAGGTTTGCGGAGGATGTATCCAAACCATCGTAGTCGTCCATGCGGAATACGCATTGACAGACGGGTGATGTATCAGCTGTTTCTAATGGACGTTTTCGGGCTTCCGTCAAACCAGTTGCTACCTGTTATGTTAAACTCTTGTTTGTTGTTTTGTATCATTTTTTTACTTGGCCCCGTAAATTTTCTCTTCTTTCCTTTCAGTCCCTGTCGTCCACCTGCATGCTGAATAAAGCCTAGATATCGGGCTTTTGTCTTGTTCCTTCAACAGCTGCTACAATCGTCTCTTACATTACCCGTTTGGATGAAGCGAAAAAGGAGGATAAGAATGCTAAAAGCAGGAGCTGCGGTTAGCAATGATTGCAGAGAGGG